CCCTCCGGGTGCTCCACATCAACGTCTTCCACAACGCCAGCTCCACGGACATGGATATGAGAGTCCTGCTGGGCGACCTGGAGACCCACTCCGTGAACTGCAGCACCTGCGAGATCCGCTTCCTGCAGCCCTGGGCCCAGCAGGGTCTGACCTCGAAGGAGTGGCAGGACCTGGAGCTGCTGACCCATTATTACCTGTCTGACTTCAACCGGACTGTGAACACAATAGCCCAGCACCACGGAGGGGGCTGTGAGTATAGCACGGTCTGAGGGGATCCCTCCCCCACCCACCCGCGGTGCTGAGAACTGACACACTCACCACAGCCACTGAGTGTGTCATTGGGGCCAAGACAGCGAGTCCCTGGCCCTTTGGCTGATTGAAACCGGCATCCCCCAGAGGGGAAACACCCGTGTCCCATTCTCCACCCCAGAGTCAGCCAGCCAGGTTTGGGGCCAGACTGTAGCCTGCACTTCCTAGAGGGGAAAGGCCCCGTGTCCCACTCCCTGAGCCGAGGCTCCTGGTCTTTCCTGACATGTACCCTGACCCTTTGAAAGCAGGTCATTTGGGCGGGGGTCTGTATCGCAGGAACCCTGTGACCAAGGGACCCCAAATTTGCACCACAAACTCTGCCTCAGGCCCCGATGTAACAGCGATTTTCCAGCTGATCTGACTTTAAACAGAAACTGCAACTTACCCTTAACTCCAACCAGGGCCGCTGCACAATCCTGCCACCGTTGTGTGGCCCAACATCCTCATTGCACCTGACGTTATGTCTTTACTTCCCCCGTCTGTCTATTTCTGCCCCCTCCTGTGACCTCCGGACGCCCGTCCTCATCCCCCTGCCCTTCCTGTTCCAGACCCCTTTGTTACCCAGGTCTCCCTCGGCTGCGAGCTGCCCCCCAACGGCACCTCGAGGGGATTCTATGATATCGGAGTGAACGGGGAGGACTTCATCAGCTTTGATGCGGTGGCAGGGAAATGGGTCGCTCGGCAGGGGGACAAGCTGGCGCTCTACGTCCGGCAGCGTCTCAGTCGGAATAAGGGCGCAGTCATCACGCTTCAGTTTCTCCTGAGAACAACGTTTGTCAATCTGATCGAGAGCTTTGTCCAGCATGGGAACGAGTCTCTGGAGAGACAAGGTGAGGCTGGACACTACTCGCTGCCATGCAGCCACCTCTGGGGTACTGTGTGTTTGCTGTTTATACAGGGATCCCGCACCC